CAAAATGCTTCACAGCCGAAAAGACGTGGTCGTTCTCAAAAACCACGACCTATCGTTCCCGCTGGCCCTCTACCCAATCAGCAGCCGGCGATTTCCTCTCAGGTTCAACCGCAATCTTCGACTACAAATGACACTCCGGTGTTTGTGCAATATGTAATTCCAACGAGTAACAACAGTGGCATCGTCGATGCGAGTTCTCATTTGCCGCCTGCATCGAAATCTTCGCACGCAACTAGACCTCGAAAAAATAGTTCTGTTGGTGGTGGCAATGTTCCCTCTGCCCCAAAACGCCCTAGAAAGCAAAAGGATAATAGTAATGTTTCGGTAAATGGCATTCACGTTACTGGGGAGGAGAATAAGAATAATAAACAGTTCCCAGATTCCCTTCAATTACCTCCCGCGGTTATCAATAATTCCGAAGGTTCCCTTTCCTCTTCATTCGCGACAATGTCCACTAGCCTTGGAACTTCGACAATTCCAAACCGTAAGCGTGAGCATCCTGCGCCAAGCCCACCAAGAAATACTTCTGTAATAAAGCGATGCAAAAAAGAAGAAAATATCGATGATGATGTGATGATGGAAGATGCTTCTGCAATAAGAGATGATAATATAAGGAATTCCTCAAATGAGGCAAAGTCCTCACCTTCACATATGGAAGCCGTCTTTATTCTACAATCGCTCAAAGAGGGTGAAGGGTCAAAGAGTCCCCCCACTGAGGTTTTCGCGAGTCCCTCTGCCACTCCGAAAATTGTTGGCGTAAAGGAGGAGGTTACCAAACAAGTTTCTGAAGAGCCAAAGGTCGATCAATTCGAAAATTTGGTTGCGACAAAAGTTCGAGAACTATCACTTGACGAAATCGATCAATTTAAAGGAAAGGAGGACGTTACTGTCAAATCACCATTGATTCTTTCCGAGGATCTCGCAAAAAATTCGAGGAACGGCGGGGCCGTCAAATCAACTTCGACCCCTAATAAAACGAAAAAGAAAGGTTTCAACGGTGGCAATAATAGTCGTAACGACCCTACTAATAATAAGGTT